GGCGCCCCGACCGGGACTAGAACCTGGGGTGCCCGCGCCGCTAGGCGGAGGATTAGCCTAGTGAGCCGCGGCGCCGGCCTCAAACAAAAGGTTTTTTTTACATTTTTATTTTTTTTTTCTTCTTATGAGGGTGGCGTAAGTTTATTGGGTAACTACAATGGGAGGAGGTCGTCGAGGAGGAGGAGGAGGAGGAGGAGAGAACAGAAACGGGGGCTACGTGCCCTACGCCCTACGTGTCTAAGCTTGGACAAGGGGAGGGGGTCCTTGAAGAGCAGAAAGGGGTGGCTACGTGCCCTACGTGTCTCGCGGTTTCTTTGTTAAGCTTGAACAAGCACAGGGGAGGGGGCTTAGGTGCATACCAGGATGTTCTGTCGCCCTTATCTCTGGGTAGTAGCCCTTATCTCTGGGTAGTAGCTATCTGCTTTCTCTGTGAACTTAGTTTACTCCCCATTTCCCAGGACTGTTTTATTAAGGCCATTTTATGGCGGCTCTCGGCAAACAAAAGTTTTTAAAAACGATTACAAGCCCACTAGGAATGATCAGTCACATGCTTGCTTCCTCTGTTCCTGCCGTGAAGAAGGCCAGTGTCTGTGGGAGCGAGTCTGGCACAGGGAACGGCCTGGCCTGGATGTCAGGATCTTGACTTCCAGTCCAGCCTCTGCTGTTAGCCAGCATCACCTTTAGCAAGTCTCTCTCTCTCTCTCTCTCTTTTTTTTTTTTTTTGGTGCCAATGTTAAATACAGGTTTATTTAAGACATTGCATTTTCCACTTAGATACAGTGCTTATAAAGTGCAATGTTATTTATTTCTTTTCCCTGTGCACATTTTCCATATTCAAGTATTGAGAATAGCAAGTCCCTTTTAAAAAAAGAATATTTTTCTCTCTGCTAATGCACTTGGGAAGGCAGTCAAAGATGACCCAAGTGCTTGGGCCCCTGCACCCATATAAGAGACCCAGAAGAAGCTCCTGGCTCCTGTTTCAGCCTGACCCAGCTCCAGCCATTGTGTTCATTTGGGGACTGAACTAGTGGATGGAGGACCCCTCTCTCTGTCTCTCCCTCCCTCTAATAATACCTTATAAATAAATAAATATTTTTTAAACTGTAATAAAAAGATTTTATTTACTTGAAAGGCAGAGTTACAGAGGAGAGACCGAGAGAGCTCTTCCATCCACAGGTTCATTCCCCAAATGGCCACAAAGCCAGGGCTGGTCCAGGCTGAAGCCAGGAGCCTGGAACTCTACCCGGGTCTCCCACATGGGTGTCAACGATCCAAGTACTTGAGGCGTCACCTGCTGCTTTCCCAGGCACATTAGCAGGAAACTGGATCAGAAGTGGAGCAGCCTTCTTTTGGAGCGGCGCCCGTATGGGATGTAGGCAGAGGTTTAACCTGCTGTGCCACAACACCGGCCCCAACCTTTAGCAAGTCTCTGAGAAAGTTATTCGGCCCTTAATTCTGCTTCTTCATCTGTAAAAGGAGAGCTTTGATCCAGATGATTTCCAAAGGACCTTCCAGCTCCAAGATCCCCTGATTAAGCCTTTTCAGATTAAAGTCATGATTTCTCTGCTGCTTATATTAAGAGCAGATTTGATTAAATTAATTAGATTGATTTGGCCCTTAAAGGATCTATTTCATTTATGTGCATTTCTTTACCCATTGATTGTGTTTTTGGAAAGTATATGTAAAATAATACATGTGATTTATTTTCATATTACTTTGCTGCATTAGAAGACATTTATTTTAATTTAATCAAAACTGCTTTATGCTTCGTATGAAGTCATTAGGAGGCAGATTATTGCCAGCTCAGTGACTTATTTGTGGGTATTTGGGGAAAGTTTTTACTAGGCTGTTTTTATTTTATTTTTTTAAAGATTTATTTATTTATTTGAAAGAGTTATACAGAGAGAGAAGGAGAGGCAGAGCGAGAGGGAGGTCTTCCATCTGCTGGTTCACTCCCCAATTGGCTGCAATGGCCGGGGCTGTGCCAATCAAAAACCAGGAGCCAAGAGCTTCCTCTGGGTCTCCCACATGGGTGCTGGAGCCCAAGGACTTGGGCCATCTTCCACTGCTTTTCCAGGTGCATTAACAGAGAGCTGGATTGGAAGTGGAGCAGCCAGGACTTGAACAGGCACCCATATGGGATGCTGGCACTGCAGGCAGCGGCTTTACCTGCTACACCACAGCACAGGCCGCAAGCTGTTTTTAATTTGAAAAAGGGCATGTCACCCTACCTTTAGTAATTCACATTTTTCTTTTTAACTAAAAATACCACCTAGAAACTACATTTGTCACAAGAACAAAAGTGTGTGTTTATTTAAACAGCCAGGACTCTGCATTTCTAAATTTGTAATGTTTTTACTAACTCCTGGAAGCTTATTTTTAAAGTCAAAAGATCTGTGCCAACCACATCTTTATTTTCCTTTTCCTGTTTGTCTTACTCTCCCCCCAATAGAAGTCCGTTTCCTGTTTTCTCAATTCCTCTTTTCCCAGGTTAAAATTAGAGCCTACAGTTTGGTGCAGGGGAGGGATGGGTGAGCCTTGGCTCAGGAGGCGGCAGGTTCAGCAACATCGTTATCCTGTGAGGCAGGGGCTCCCCTGGACCCTCTACGACCCGGGCCTCCTGCAAGAGCGGCCGAGCCTCCCAGGCTTTCTCTTCCTGGAGCGGAAAAGCAAGACGAACCTCTGTGGGCTGAAGTTCTTAGAGATCTATAGACTGACTCGTGGATAGTATTTGTTAGAATCAGAAAGTTGTAGGCAGGGGCTGGCCCTGCTCCACTTCTGATCCAGCTGCCTACTAATGTGCCTGGGAAGGCAGCTGAAGATGGCTCACGTACTTGGGCCCCTGCCACCGACATGGGAGACCCGGATGGAGTTCCAGACTTACGCTTCCTGGCCATTCTGGCCATTTAGGGAGTGAACAAGCAAGCAAATGGTAGATATTCTCTCTCTCTCTCTCTCTCTCTCTCTCTCTCTCTCAACTGTGCCTTTCAAATAAAGAAATATATTTTTTAAAGTTTTAGACAGTTTAACAAAAAACACTCAGATGAAAAGGCAAAATGCTGTCTGAAACAGTTGGTGTCCTAACCAAATTCCCATTCCTATTTATTCACCTCCACTCTAGAGACTGGAAATACTAAATTCCCTTTTTTTCTTAAGATTTTATTTATTTATATGATAGGTAAAGTTACAGACAGAGAGAAGGAGAGAGAGAAGAGAGGGAGGGAGGAGAGAGAGGGAGAGAGAGTGTGTGTCTTCCATCCG